CTCACAATTTTACAACGATCCTTTTAAAACCAAAGTCTTGTAGAGTAAGCTTTACTCTCACAAACATAAGTTTTACTCTCACAATTTTACAACGACCTTTTTAAAACCAAAGTCTTGTCGAGTAAGCTTTACTTTCACAAACAACGATCCTCTTAAAACCAAAGTCTTGTCGAATGAGTTTTACTCTCACAAACGACGACACTCTTAAAACCAAAGTATTGTCGAGTGAGTTTTACTCTCACAAACAACGACCCTCTTACTGAAGCTACACCTGGGCAAAGCGCCATCTTTTTACAACGGAAAGAACAAGACGAAGGCTCGACACATACGAAGAGTTACCTTTCAGTTCAGAGAGGAATAGCTAAAATAGAAATAAAAACGGCTCTTTTAGGAGCCAACAAGCACTAAGAAAGTCATGACCAATGCTTATTTCAATAAAATGAAATGTTTGAAATAAAAAATAATGAAAACCTAGACATTAAGGAATAGATATTGATCAATATCTATGAATAATCATACTTCGGACCAGACTCCTAAAATCATAGTTTCCATAAGTTTTGCAAAAAAATCGTAATTAACCACTGGGTTTTAAAAACAACAAACAAATCTGGTTGCTATGAAAGTGATTGACAGGTGTGAATTTCATGGAGCTGATTTTCAACATACTAATTAGGAGGCTCAGTCCCTTTAGGGAATACTAAGGACCAATCACTGATCACTTTTTTTTGTCATTAATATTCATTTTGAGRTGATGTCAATAATTGAGTTAAGATGGAGTTTGATAATGATGTCCATTAAACAATAGCCATTCTGCCCGATGTGCTAATCCTAGTTATTTAAAAAAAATTGTATTTCAAATCGGTTCCGGAAGCATTAGACCTTTTATGTATAGGACATTTGTCTCATGTCTGGTTTTGACCCACTTAAGTCATCTATTGTTAAGCATACACGCGCCGCAGTAGAACGATTTTACTGGATCCCCTGAACATGCATGCACAGAAAGTGAAAAGACAAACAAGCACGAAAGAAAACTGTGGAATTAGTGTCTTCTGAAGGTTTATTTTCCCAAGCGACGAAAAATACCAATAATAAAAATATTATGATTTTCTTGTGTTCTTTCACGATTTTGTTTAGTTGTTCGTAGTTATTATATTCTAATACATGTCATGATCAATTGCATCATGTTAAGGTTTCTCAGTTTAAAGTTCCAAGGGATCAAGGCAGCTCCCGTTGGCGGATAAACGCTCCAGTTAGCAAATTATATCATGGATGATAAAATTATCATCGATGATAGTGCACGCACTAAACCCGTGAACAATAGATAGTGCTAATTAGTACTAATTCATACCGAATCTTTTGTTTTCTTTTGTTTAATCATAGTTTTATATTGTTTAAAGTTAGTATTTGTTTCACGGGTTTAGTGCGTGAACTCTAATGTTAGAAATAAATAGTGAGGAAAATATGAACACTTAAAGTGACATTACGCCAGGCAAACAAAGAGAACAGAAAAACTTTATCGTGAAAAATAACACGTCAATATATAGTATCATCCAACTCGCTAATCAGAGTCAGAGATCGACAACCCTCGCCACTTTGAAACGGCTTTTTCATGTGCCTTTGCCGCCTTGGTTACAGCCTCCGTCATTGTAGGCATCATTGCCATAAGCTCATCTAGTTGATCTTTCTTCTTTTTCTTCTTTTCCTTCTTCTCTGTTCCCTTTCCAGCTGTAAGAATAGGGACAAGAATACACCACGTTTAAATGAATAACACTGCGTGCGATGAATGCGGGTTGAGTCGTTGGATTGGGGCTACAAATTAAATATTGGATATGCTCGTAAAAAGCTTCAGAACTCTACTCAGGAAATCTACTCAGCATATAGAAAATGACTTCGGGAGAATGTTAACCCATAGGAAATACCATCATACAAATTACAAAATGGCTTTTAAATTTTGCGTTTGATGATGAGTCAGTTATGAGTCTTACTTCGATACCCTAAAAGATACCAGGAAACGCCGAAAAACTCCAGTTCGTACACCCGAAAAGATACCCGACGAGTGTTACGTGCCAACTAGCCATTACCCGAAATTATTATAACCCCGAAGTTTCAACTTGTGAACTATGGTATGGATCCAAAATTTATAATTTAGCCTTAAATCTTTTCACTCAGCCTTAGATGGTATAGGCAAGAATATATAAAAAATAACTTTAGGTCTGACCCACAACCCCAACCCGAAAATTACTCAAAAGAGCCGTACTCCCTCGTGCTTATTCTGAAGCCTTACGTAAGAACAAAATATCGATGACGGCAATGAAACTGATGGATAGCATCTCACCTTTTTCCTCCTCTGCAATCAATTCATCCTCTTCAAATTCACTAAGAAATCTTGAACGTTCCGTTTTGGTTGTGGTCTCCGTGTACTTTCTGGCATCAGAGGCTTTACTTTTTTCATCTTCCCCAACAAGATAAAGGCCGTCCTTTCAATAGTCTGCTTTTCTTTTCGTGGTACACTTTGCATCGTTTTTGAAGTCCATCGGCGAAGATTCTTCACTACAACTACTCTCGTATACATCCTCCGGGTCTTTTACTGATGGTTTGTCGTTGCTAAAAAAGGAAAAACCAAGTTCATTAGCTACATTAATACTAAAAGTAATAAGAATTTATAGTCAGAATGATCAATTGGTATATCAAGAAATTACCCCGAGACTTGCCATTCTTTTATTTTTCTTCCTATTCGCCTAAGTGCCGTCTGTTTAGTTGGCCCTGTTCCCTTGCCAATGGATGTATAGTAGGCCTTTTCGACAGGACCGAGCTGGTCGGCCATAAGCTCGACGTAACTAAGTACTCGTTTGGGAAGACATCCAACTTTGCTCACTGCTTCCCTTACCAGCTGTAGCTCGAGGTTTCTGTTTTTGGATTTTATTTCAGATTTGCTAGACTTGCCTTTATCGCGGTCTGCTTTTCGCTTTTGCCTGGTTTTTGGCGTAAAGAAAATCCTTTCCAGCCTTTCCAACTCTTTGTCTCCTCGGTCTTCTGGATTCACTACAGGCTCTCCCGCAAAAGCAGCTTCGAGAAATATGTTTCTTCCTTCCATGGAGCCAAGAAACTTCAACCACACACATGAACTCCAGGCTGTATTTATACAGAATTAAGTGTGAACATACCTTCGAGCCTCTCACACTTAC